GATGTGGGAGAGGAAAGTGGAGATTGCTGAGGTGAGTCACCCCAAGGCGGACCTGAGCCTTGGTGACGCGGCCTTGTTGGTGGGATTGGCCAGTCTTCTGAGCTATCAACTTTTTTGTTTAAGTTTTTTTTTTGTTGTTGTTGTTGTTGTTAATATTATAGAGATATTTGGACATACTGTGTCTGTGAGAAATTTTAGCAGTTGCCTTAACTATTAAACCAAAATGAAGGATGATTTTTTTAAAATTGGTTTTCTTTATCAGGGGGTTGGTACTGGGAATTGAACTCAGCACCTTGAGCTTGCCAGGAAAGCGCTGTGCTGCTTAGCTATATTCCCCACTACAAGTTTTTTCCTTGTCAGGGACAAAGTCTTCTGAGGTATCTGGGAGACACTCTAGTCATACTATTTTTAGTTGCTTGTTAATGAGTTTAGAAACTTCTAAATCTTTCTACACTGAGTAATTTACTTTTTGCTACTGTATACATGAAAAAGTCAGCTTTTAAATAAAAAAATAAAATAATGGATTTTTAATATCACTTAGAATCCAATTCCAAGTGTTTATACACTCGCTGTGAGTTTTTAACTAATCCTTTGAATATGGTGCGGGATACACAGAAAATATGGTTCTTGTGAACTGTAGAAGAGAAATGGGCAACATGAAAACAACATGCTTGTTTCCCAAATGAGGAGCACACCAAGACTGCCACAGCCAGGTTACTAACTGAGGTCTATAGAAGACACCATCAGTGTAGCTTAAAGCCCAGTCACAGAGCTGGATGCAGTGGCGTCTGCCTATGATCCCAGCCACTTGGGAGGCTGAGACTAGAGAGAGACCAGTTCAAGGCCAGCCTGGGCAATTTTGTGACTTAGTGAGATTTTGGTTCAAAGTAAAATAAACCATAAAATGGACCAGGACAGAGCTGAGTGGTAGAGTTTGTGCCTAATACATGAGGCCCTAGGTTCAACTCTCAAGACTTCAACAATATCAACAACCATGACCAAAAAACCCAGGTAGGCTGCTTGGGAAATGGGCTTGGGTTTGATGTCTAGTTTCTCGCTCCATTTTCCATGTCATTTTCTTCTTCCGCTGTGGACACTTGGTGGCAGAGAGTAACTTAGGAGTAAAACATGGGCCCATTAATCTGAAACTGTGAAGTGGTGCAGAAGCATAGCAAAACCCTGCTCCCTCTTCGCTGAACAGAAACGCGTTCTTTAGAGGAGTCTCCCCGGTGGTCCCTGCCCAGAATGCGCAGGTCACCTGTACCAGCAGCAGGGCCACACGAGGATTGCATTTGTACTGGGCACACTGATTGACCTTCTTCCCCTGGCCCTTTTCATTTGTGCAGATGTCCTTAAAAGGCTACCGCAAGACTTGGAACAGAATGAAGACAACCAATGAGCAGTTGCAAGATCTCCCCGCTGGGAAATAACCAGGATTAGGCCACAGTTTGCGGACAAGAAGTGATCCATTAAATGATTCAGCTCTTTTTAATCATGGGGTCCTCTCACTGTTCCCTGTGCTAGCTGGTGTCCTCCACTCCCAGCCACATGGATTGTCACCTTCCTGGGCACATCTGTTGCTGGGAATTGTCTTTCCAGCCTAGCCTGAGCTCTTAACACCAGTGAAAGAACCACAGGGCACTCTTGTGGTTTGACATTTAGTTCACAAGCATAAATAAAAGTGACCCTCTCACAAGTGGGAGTGGAACAGAGGAGGGAGAGCCAGCCTGGCGTGTGCCGTGGGTCTATGCGCAGCAGCCCACGCATGCAACTGTCCAAACCAGACACCACAGCAGCACAGGGGATGCCTGGCACTCAGCATGCTGAGTTTTCTCTTCAGTTTGATGGGTTCCTTCCTAGATCTACACACTGCTGCTGAAGAAAACAAGCATGAAAAGAACCAAGATTTCTTGAGGCTGCACTGTGTCCTGGCCTGCAAAAGACATCTTCCCAGCATGCCCACCGTAGTAGTCATAGTACATGGGGTGAAGAGCCATCTCGGCAGAACTGTCTGCTTGCTGTAGGCCCTTTACCCTATGGTCTGGACCATGTCTAGAGCTAGAGCTGTTTACTTGTTGTAAATGTACACTGGGCTTTCTTTGTCCTTGGGGGTAGGATTGGGACCATCCTACATGGCCCTGTTGAGAATATGTAGCCTGCGTCACGACTGCAGGAAACCTATGGTGAGAGAAATGGATCAACTTTTCCCAGAGGTGGAGTGAAGACAGGGGAGGGCCAGCCATGCTGGCCTGGGATGTGATCCAATCGCTGTAGTCTTCCACCTTGGTATACAGATAGAAGCCAGGGCATTTCTCACCACCGTGGGTCAGGAGTCCTCTCAGGACCCACAGATCCAAACCCTGCAGCTGGCACATCATGGGGCTTCCTGGCTCCCCCTGTGACAAAGGACAGAATACTTCAGCCTCCAGAAAAGAACTTGTTTTCTTTCTTATTAGATCCTTATGCAATTTACTATTCATTCTAGAAACATACTGGTTCTCCCTGGAAAGAGGACAAATTATAGGATGCTATTTCAAATCTACCCAAGTACAAATACAAATTCCAGCATGGTGACTTTTAGTTTTATAGTAGGAATCATTGGTGGGAGCTTGAAGCTTGCCTATAGCTTCCTGATTCGTATTTCATTTTCTTGCCCCTTTCTAGTACTTTGATGAGCATCATCCCTGTCTTTCTGCTTCTTGTCTCTTGAAGGTTTATTTCTTTGCTTCCTGGCTTGGACTGATTTTGTTTCTCCCTTTTCTCTATCATCTAAGCTACCATGCTTCCACTCTACCATTGGAGCTACTCCCTCCCATCTGCAAGCCCTGTGGAATGGGTGGGGAGCTGGGAAGACAGTCCCCAGGAGCATATGCTAGGCAGGGTTCTTCTCTGAGTTTAGACACCAGGGGTCCTTGAATAAGTGGCTGTGGGTTCTGTAGACTATCATGAGACAGGAGGACAACCATGTCTGCGCATCAGGGCTTCATGCACAAGAAAACCCCAGTGTCTGATAAACAGAAGCCTCAGAGGATGCTAGACACAGTGACCCCCCCCACACACACACACCATAGACCTGCTTGAGGTGTATCTGCACATGGAGTTTGGACTCATATTTTCACATGTTTAGCTTGTTATAGAACATCAATTGCCAGCATTGTGGCACACAGCTGTAATCCTAGCACTCTGGGAGGCTGAGGTGGGGGCCTGCAAGCTCAAAGCCAGCTTGGGCAATTTAGTAAGACTGTCTCAAAATAAAAGTAAAAAATAAGCACTGCATGTGTATCTCAGGATGTAGGCCCTGGGTTCAATATTCTGTACCATCAATCATCAATCATCTGTAACTCAGATATGCTTAACCATGTTACAGAGAAAATAGTAACTAGTAAGTCCATTCAGTAGATTTTTACTGAACCCTTGCTATGTGCCAAGGACTATTTGCCTCAGAGACATCCATGGCCCAAATCATTGTCCCTGCCCTTGGGTCCAAGACACCCTTGACATCACCAATGTGTACTCTCAGGATTTAGCGTCTACTTTTATTATGTTCTTACCAAGCAGACAGTGTCAGTTTCCTGCTCTTTGTGACTGCCACAGCCCGTTTTCTGGAGTTTGTGTAGGGGACACAAGTCAAGGTCTTTCACGAAGATTCTCCTCAGGATACTCATTGTCATGTGATTTCCTGTCTGGACCATGCAACAGAGAGCCCATGAATTATTGAGAAGGAAGCCCCTTAAGTCAACACAACTGCAACTCACATATACAAATGGAAATGAGTAGAAAAATGTCTCTATATATCTTTGCTTCACAGAAATCAGAACCTCTGTCTGATTTTATACTGAAACTATCTTTGCTTTAAACTTAAAGGTGTAAACATGAAGAGAATATTGCACCCTTCCTCCACATCTAAAGAATATCCATGTCCTCATTATTTTTTTCTGGAGAATGACAGAAAACAAGGATGATTTAGAATAGAGGAACAACCAGCTCTGGCTCACCTCATACCCATTCTAGACAGTCCTCTACCTGTGTACTTCAGTTTGGGGACAGAGACAGAGGACAAAGAACCAGTGTAATGTGAAGATGGCTCCAGAAAGGACAAGCACAGGGAATCTCCACTGATTATTGGAAGATCCAGCCCAACTCTGGAACTTCAAGCAACCAGAACCAGTAAGCCTAGAACAGTTCATCCAAGGCACCCCCCTCGCCAGCACACACACAGACTCCTCTAGGAGAAGGATTGCATTAACTGCAGATGTGGGATTCCATCCTGACACCCAGCAATTCTTCAAGGCTGGGAGCACAGGCCGATCCTTCTCCAGGAAGCAGATGGACTGGACCAGATCATCGAAGTGCATCGCTGAGTCTGTCTTCAGGAGGGCTATGTTATTGTTCATGGAGTAGTTGTCAAATTCCTCATGGATGATGATGGTGCTGACCGGGTACTCTATGTAAGAATTCTTTCTTGGATCCATGTTAGCTATACCAACCACAACGATGGCCTCCTTCCTGGAGAGAGAGAGAGAGAGATCAGAGGAATCGTGAGAAACCTTTCTATTTACTGTATTTTCAACCTGGAATGTTCACCCTGCTCATCTTCCCTGGGTCAATCTTTGCTCACTGCTTTTGATCTAGTCTCTGGGAACATTTTTCTGAACCCCTAGGCTTGTACCTTTCCCATATGAGCCTGTAGGATCTTGGGAATGCTTCTGTCTTAAGACCGTTTATCCTTCCAACCAAAGATGATATTAACATATTAATGCTTGGTAACTTTTTTCTATAAACTTCTTTTTAAACATAACTTTAATTGGCCCAAATATGTAACCATGACTCCTGATCTTAGCACTTAATATTTTCATACGCACATCTTTTCGAACGATAGACTCTGCAAATACTCTTTGGAGAAGTTTTGGTTTTAATAACGATACATTTTAATGCACAGCATTACTTCTCTTGGGACTCAACCAGTGAACTATGAAAATAAAAAGCAAATGTAGACATCTTAAAACCAAGACTCTTCATAAAATCCAAAGCTTAGAATCAGGGGAAGGGAAGACAAAAGCAGGGAAAGACAGCAGGAATTTATGTTGTAGATGACACTACCATCAAGCTCAGAAAAAGTGGGTCAAGAGGCTGCTCGACAAAGAAATGAAAAGGAAACCCTGTCCCATCAGTAAAGTGAAGACTGAGTTGGCAGCAACATAGAGAAATAACCTCAAAACACACAAATAGGGAGGTAGAAAGTAGGCTGAGAAAAGTGACCCAAATGAAGTGGAAACCAAGACTTTTAAATGCTATAGAGGAAAAGGACAGACTGGCTGTCCAAGGACAGGATCTTAGTCAGGGCCCTCTTGCTAGGACAGAAGTCCCAACAACTACCACTTAAAGAAGAGGTTCTAACTGACGTACAGTTCTAGCCCAGGGTCAACCAGCTCTAAGGTAGAGAATAGCTGCTCACATCTGGGGCCAAGAAGCAGAGAGGGAAGCAAGGAGCAGGAGAGGGAGCTGTGGCTGTTAGATCAGGCCCCAGTGACCCTCCTCTTCCAGTCAGGCTCCACCTCCTGCCCGCACATTGAGATCCAGAGGCACCATGATGCAGTCACCTTTCAAAAGCCCAGCCTAGGGCTGGCCATACAGCTCAGCAGATTAAAGCACCTACTTAGGTAGAGTACAGTGGCCAGAGTTCAATGCCTCATGTGCCATGCCAGCCCTGCCCCTGTGGCACACTGAGACAGCGATTGGGACTGGGCATGGTGGCGTGTGCCTGTAATCCCAGCACTTGGGAGGCTGACAACAGGAGAATCACTACGAGTCTGATCTGTGCAGTGAGATCCTGTAGACCCTGTACTAAAAACATAAAAAATAAAATAGACTGTGTGCACCCTTCTAGAGAAAGGTGATCTGGAGAAAAACTAAAACAGCCAGAGGGCCACAAGGGAGGGCATCAAAATAGTGAAATAGCAAAACTATTTCAAGACCTAATTTAAGAAAGTTTTCCAGAAATAGGATTTCAATCAACAATTTGGAAAGATATTCTATTCCAGAGAAAACATTTTAAGAGAATGACTCTACAGAGCCATAACCTGCTCAGGTGCCAATAGGCATCAGACAGCATACACACGTAAACGGGAGAGTTCATTAAAGGACTCTTTATAGCCAGAACCCAGGGAAAGCATCCTGTGATGTAGGCCGAAGTCACAGTGGGGTGCTGATGCTACCTGTGGGCTGTGGGAAGAGAAAGATGAGCTGTAGGACCCCTCAGGGCCATGAAGACACCATCTTGCTCCTCCACTCCCTCTGATCCCTAGTCAGGGCTTCTATTGGCCAGACCCAACTGGACCCTGAATTGGAGAGTACCCACAGGAGTCAGGCTTCTGAGCGCTGGTGAGGAGTGGTGGGGGGGGAGAGGGGAGAGAGGCAGGAGAGCTAGTAAAGTTGCTGGACCTGAGACCTGAAAGAGACCTGGGGAGTCCAGACAGCAAAGACAAAGCCATCCTGACTTTGGCTGTATGATATATTATCTAACCCGGGAACTTATGAAAAAGAGAGTGCTGACAGCAAGAATCTAGAGTCATAGGTGTAGACCAGGCTGTCCCAGGACAAATGGCCCTGTGCTAAGCCAACCTGTATAGAGATTCAAATGGCCTCGGACTTCTCTAGCAAGCTTACTACTAGATTCCAGGGTAGGGGTGGGATCAGATGGGGTACTGCCTATAAAACCTCAAAAGAAAATAAACTATGAGCCAAGAATTTAATTCTTAAGTAGTCATTCAGGTTAAAGGACAGTACAACTTTTTGTTGTTGTTGTTTATTTGCTTTTTTGGAGACTGGGTCTTGCTATGTAATGCAGGCTGGCCTAGAACTCATGGTGATTGTCCTGCCTCAGCCACTCCAGTGCTGAGATTATAGGGCTGTACCTACATCTTGCACTGCAATATCTTTGAATATCCGAAGACCAAGGAAATGTGGTCTTAGACAACCTTTAAGAAACTACTTGAAGACAAATTTTAGTCAAACAGTATACAATGAAGAAAACTAGCAAAACATCAGGAAGTATGAAGTTCATCATAATAATGAGCTAAAATGGAAAGAAAAAGCTTTTGAAGTGCAAAATAAAAATTTTTAAAGTGCAATATAACTGAAGTTGGAAATACAGATATAGGTATGTAGGTCAATTTTGATCATCTTTTATATGACCTAAACATGTTACTCATGTGCAGTTACTATATGAAGTATCACAGGTGTGGAAGTATGTAGAAGAATTGAGGCGAACACCAAAACACATTTATAATCCATTAAAATTGGTTGTTGAAAGAGGAGAGAAGTGAAAAGATAGGAAGCCTGACCTTGGTCATAGCAGAGGTTAAAAAGGAACGTCCAGCTCAAGTCATTTGCAGGAGAATGGGTGCACCTTGAGACGAGGATATTAAGTGAAATAAATGTGACACACAGGGGCTGGGGAGATAGCTCAGGCAAGCGCAAGGGCCTGAGTTCAATCCCTGGTTCCGCAAAAAAAAATAATAGTAATAATAAATAAAGAGGGCCGGGAAGATGGCTCAGTGGAATAAGCACTTCCCTGGCAAGTGCAAGGGTCTGAGTTCAATCCTCGTTTCCGAAAAAAAAAATAATAATAATAATAATAAATAAATGAGACACACAGGCTTAAATATCACATGCTTTTTCTTAGGTGAGAAACTAAAAATATAAATAGATTATAAGGAAAATAAAAGATAAAAGGGGCCAGTGAGATAGCTCGGCAGTCTAAAGCACCTACTTAGGCAAGCTTAAGCAGGTGTGGGGGACTGCAGTTTGATCCCGACACCATATGCGGTGCCAGCCCCACCCTCAGGGCAGGCTATGCGCGCCAAAAATAAATAAATAAATAAATAAATAAATTTTTAAAAAGGAAACAGGGAGATGGCCTTTTGCAAAAAGGGAGGAGATCGAGTGATAGAAAGAGCAGAGAGGAAAGGAGAAAGAGACTGAAAGGGGAATTAAGATGGTGTGAACATGTACCAGCCCCCCAAGGAGTGGCGTCATTATGAACTACAAACATGGAATAAGAAAATAAAATCTTTTAAAAGATTGTCCAAAAAGAAACAGAGGTTTTTAGTGTCTTCCGTGACATGACAGCTCTAAGAAGAAGACAAAGTAGAAGTATGAACTCCCTAAATCCATCAGTGCACCCATCTAAAATGAAAGAAATATCACAGACTAGAAAGAAAACCAAGAAGCAATAAAAACAGAAACACTACCTAAAATGGAGACAAGAAGTGGGAGTCTCATGCAGAGCACCAACTTGGAGCAGAAGGGCCTTGAGACAAGGAAGGGTCTTAGTGAGGACACAGGGTCCAGCCTGCAGAGAGGCCTCACGGGTGTTAATGTCTGCAGCAAGTGACCGGCCCACAGAGGGCAAACTACAGGACACAGGCCAGCAGGCAGAGCTTCTTCCTGGTAGGAAATTTAAATTCACTTCGGACACCAGGGCAGGTCAAGCAGAAGCTTCGCTGCGACTTTACACGTTACATACGCCAAACACAAAGAATCAACTTTTAAATTTATCGGTGGAAAAGATTCTTGTGGACCACATTCAGTAGACGTGAGAAGCTCAACAAATTCCTAAATAGTTCACTATGCAATATAACATGAAATTAATAATTTTAGGGAAAAGAAACTAGCACATAAACTCTAGCATCCACATATTTAAAAATTCCATCTTTAATAAAATCCTTTAGTCAAAGAGAAAATCAAAACCAAAACACAAGGCTAGATAGAAAAATAAGAATAGTGGAAACACTGCACAGAAAGCAGAAGTTCAGTATGGGGCCAGTTGGCAATGGCTGTAAGATTATAAACACACCTAACTTGTTCATGCTACAGTGCAATTGCAAACATACATGTATAAAATTGCATATGTACAAGTATATTGCAGCACTTTTTGGTTCTTATAAAAGATTGGAATGACCCAAATTTCCACTGTTAGAAGACAGAGTGATTTTGGTTTATCCATAGCAGGATATCGTGCAGCTCCCTGTGCACTGGTAAGGGCTCCAAAATGCAGGGGAAAGTGAAAAAAATATGAGGTGGGATAATGTATATATTGTGCCACCAGTGGTACTGGAGAATATTACGGATGAAGTTGTGTCCCTGACTCCCCAAAATTCGTATGTTGAAGCCCTGTCTGCCAATGTAGCCATATTTGGAAATTCAGACATCCTGGAAGTAATTAAGTAGCCCAGCATGGTGACACACACCTGTAATTCTCATACTCTAGGAAGCTGAGGCAGGAGGATCTCTAATTTGAGCCCAGTATGGGCAATTTAGCAACTTAAAAAGAACCTGTCTTTAAATCTAAATCCCCAGAACTGACAAAAAAAAAAAAAAAAAAAAAAAAAAAGAAGAGGTAATTAGGCTGTAAAGGGTATGGCTTTAATCCAATAGCCCTGGAACCCTGACTTGTGGAGCAAAATACCCTGGAGGTGAGCCTGCTCAGAGAAAAGGCCATTCAAAGCCATGGCAACAAGGCAGCCATTTGCAAGCTAAGGAGAAAGGCAAAGGAAAAAGCAGCAGCCTATACCTTAAGGTTGCACCTCTGGCCCCACAACAGCAAGATACACTTTTTTTACTGTCACCCATAGCAAACTGATGCAATTTTTGGCACTGAGAAATAGTGGGGTGCTCTGAAACAAAGACCTAAAAATGTGGAAGTGACATTAGGACTGAGTGATAGACAGAGCCCGGAAGGGTTTGAGGCACACGTTTTCAAAGCCCAGCCTGCCTTCAAGGGACTCTGGGTAGAAAGATGAGTGGTAAAGGTGGGGTCTCTGAAATGGGATGAAAGATAATCCTTCTAAATAAGATGGCAACAAACAGACACCCCCCCCCCAAAAAAAAAAAAAGCCACATTGGCTGGGCTGTGTTCTTGGGTTTTGTGGAGAAGTTAAAGCGGGGGACCTTGGAACTCCGGCTGAGATTTCTAGGCACAGCGTCTGTTCTAACAGTTGTACTTTGGCTGTGTAGAAGGGGTAGCCTGCTTTCTCCTACTGCTTATATTAAAATGCAAGAAGAAAGACGTGAATTGAAGAAGGGATTCTTAAGAAAAACTGAACCAGAATTGAAAGATTTGGAAAATTTTCAGTCTGTTGGTATTGCAAAAACATCACATCCTGGAGAAAATACTCAAGGGTGTGGCTAGACTTCCACTTGATACAGAGATTATGGATTAAACCAGGAAAAACCCAGCCAGTGTGGAAAAGGAAATAGAAACAGGACAAAGTGGAGGAAGGCCGTCAGGTTTCTTGGATGCCACAGTGCAAGGTAACAGAGAACTGTGTGCATCCTTCAGCAAAGAGAAGAACGGCCCTATTGGAGTCAGATCTAAGCCACCACAGGCTGAAGGTGCACAGGCCTGGGGGACACAGCGCCACCATCTCCAGCACAAGGCCTAGGGAGAGACCAATGCCCCACGATGGAGGGAGGGATACTGCCACCACAGGGAACCCAGGGGATGGGGAATTTTTTTTAAATTTTTATTTATTGAATACAGGATCTTGCTACACCGGTGGGACGCATAGTGATCCTCCTGTCTCAGCCTCCCCAGCGTGGGGGTTACAGGCCTGCACCACAACACCCAGTTTTGACAGGCACTTATACCACCGAGCTATCTCCACAGCCCGGAAGGGAAATTCTTGAACCTCGAGATCTAATCCGATTTGCCTTGCTAGGTTTTAGGCTTGCTTGGGACCAATCACCCTCGCCCTCATTTTGATTTCTTCTTTTTGGAATGGGGATATCTATTTTATGTCTGTTCTAACAGTTGTACTTTGGCAGCACAGAACTTGTGTGGCTTCACCGGTTTCATATTAGGAGAGTAATTTTGCCTCAGGATAGATCAAACCCGGAGTCTCAGCAATACTTGGTTTAGGGGAGGGACACTTTGAACTTGGAGTTAATGCTGTTGGGTTAAGATTTAGGGGTCCTAACCTTGGAAACAGCCCAAATGCTCATCAACTGTGAATTAAGCTGACATGGGTTTCTGTGCACAATGGAGCACTATTCTGCCAGAAACAAGGAAAAACTTGAGACATCGCTGGGTGAATGGTGGCACCCTTAGTCCATACTCTTAAGTGAAATAAAGCAGTTACACATGTGTAAATACCACGTTTCTCTGGGGTGAGAAACTAGAAGTGTAAATAAGGACCAAAATGTATAAGTACTGTAAAGTAGGAAGAAAATGTTCAAATGAGGAGGGGAACAAAGAAGAGGGGAGGGGGAAAGGAAGGGAAAGTAAAAAACAAGAAAAGAAGGAAAAATGGAAGCAAAGGTTTTGTAAATAGGAAGGGAGGCTGAAGAGAAGAGAAGGGAATGGGAAAAATGTTAAACCACGTACAGCTACAAATCCTCTATGACGAATGTGATCATTATATACACCTAAAGTGTTTCAATAAAATCTGATTGGAAAAGAGATTTGGGGGGCTGTGGGATGAGGTGAAAATATTTTGCAAGGCAGAAGGACCTGAACTTGGGAGGTGCAGAATGTTATTGGCTGAATTGCAACCTTCCAAAATCCTAAATGGAACCCCTGACCTCTACTATGCCCATATTTGGGGACAGAGGTAACAAGGCTAGGTGAAGTCATAAGGGCTGAGCACCGATCCAAGATGAGTGGTGTCATCTAAGGAAGAGGAAGGAGGCTGGAGATGTCGCACAGTGGCGCAGCGCTGGCCCAGCATGCGCCAGGCCCTGGGTTCTATTCCCCATACAGGAGGAGGAATAGGAGAACAAGGGGGAGACGAAAAGGGGTTGGAAGAGGGGAGAAAAAGGAGCAGAGGACCCACCAGGGATGGAAAGGCTCCAGGAGAACAGAGCTAGAAGGCAGCAGCTTGCCAGCCCCGGAGAGAGGCCTCAAGAGAAAACCAGCCAGTGGACATCCTCCGGTCTGGACTTCTGGTCTCTAAAATCGCAAGAAATGCATTGTTGTTTAAGCCCCACAGCCTGTGATACTCTGTTACGGCAGCCTGAGCTGACTAATACAAGAGGGAGGAGAATTCTGTCAGTAGATGCAAAAGCCCCTGCCTGGCAACTGTAGGGTCCCAAGTTTGAGCCCTGGTACTGCACAAGGAAAAAGAAAAAAGAAAAAAAGCAATAACTAGCCTTGTACGTATGTAGACATCCATGAATGCAATGAGAATCTAACAGCAAATATCCAAGAAACTGGTGGAAATATCCACCATGAAGGAGAGAAGCCGGCAACCGCAGGACGGAGGGAGGAACCGCTGCTCAGGGGATATCTTCGGCTGCTCATCCGCACTCGTTGCTGTACACGGATTTTCAAATTAAGAGATTGGGCAGCTAGACAATATCTTCTCAGCTACTTGTACTGTATCCAGTTGCAGTCTGTGCCCTCCACAGTATATGTACATATATACTACTTACATACATTATATAGCATGTGATGTGTAATTTACACTGTATTTAACCATGATAATTGGACATTAGCTCTCTTTCCTGTGTTTTCTGTGCCATTAACCATGCTAACAACTTTGTGTCCACGGAAGAACCACCTATCATCTTGACTCCTAAAAGTGAAATCAATGGGCCAATGTGAGATATTTTGCAAATATTTACAAAAATATTTTAGAAATATTTACAAAAAAGGCTATCCCTTTAAGAATATTGATGGTTTTCCTCTGGTTTACAAGAACGCATATTTATTGTGAAGAATACAGAGAAGTTCTAAGAAGAAAATAGAAATCTCAGGGGCCAGGGAGATAGCTCAGTAGAATGAGCACTTGCCTGGCAAGTGCACAGGTCTGAGTTCAATCCCCAGTTCCACCAAAAAAAAAAAAAAAAAAAAAGAAAAGAAAAGAAAAGAAATCTTGGGTGTTGCCAGGTGTGATGGCACATGCCTGTAATCCCAGCACTCAGAGGCTGAGGCAGGAGGATCACTGTGAGTTTGAGGCCAGCTTGGGCTATATAGAGCAAGAAAGAAAAAAAAAGAAAAGGAAGGAAGGAGAGAGGGGAGGGAGGGAGGGGAGGGAGGGAGGGAAGGAAGGAAGGAAGGAAGGAAGGAAGGAAGGAAGGAAGGAAGGTAGGTAGGTTTGTGTGGAAGCCTGTAGAGCCAGGCGCTCTCCATCATAGGTAAATAGATATCCGTGATATCTCCTGCATCCCCTCAGGGTTTTTCTGTACACGTGCTGCAGATTGCAGCGGTAGCCTCTGCAAGGCTCTAGGTATCTAAGGCAAGGGATCAGCAGGGTAAGCAGTGAGGACAGCTCTTATTAAGAATCTGTGCCTCTGGATTATAGTAAAACCAGAATGAGTGTCCTTCCTGGGTAGCATGGGGAAAGGGTCATCCCCCTTTTCAGTGTTGTCCCCCACAGTCCTCAGAGCAGAAGTGATGGTGAGACCCCAAGGCTGGGGAGTAGCAGACTGGGGAACCCGCCTGGGCCCGCAGGGTGAGAGGACTGGCCTGAGCTGCAGGGCCGACGCGATGCTGAGGATCCAGAATTGGCTGAGGATGCAGCCGAAGGCCAGGTGTGTGTACTGCGAGTCCTGCACAGACACCACCCAGGGGAACTCCATGGCGCTGACCAGGTTCTCCTCGGATTCATCCACCAGCGAGGTTTTCTGGATGCCACAACCTGCAGAGGCAGTACAGGCCTCGCTGAAAGGACCTGTCCTTGGGGCTACCACCATCCACCAACTCCCGAACTCCTTTCCTGCTGGCCATCGGCCTTTCTGGCCATTAACTCTACCACCCTGCTGCTTTTCTCAAACAAGGGGCTCTTCTTTGGCACAAGAGGTTCTTTGTGGTACTGCCAGGGGACTGTATGGATTGGACTATTGGTGACTTATTTTCGACCATACTACATTCACTCTTGCCAGGCTCTGGGCTAGAGACTGGGCTAGCAGGGCTGGATTTCAGGAGTCTGTCCCAGGGACACACTAACAGGTGATGGTCACAGAGACAGAGGTGACATGTTCCCTGAGGGTACAGAGGAGACAGGAATTTGGACTTACAGTCTGGGAGGGCTTTCTCCTAGTAGTGACCTTTGATTTGAGCCCTAAAGATAGTTTGCAATCCAGAGTCAGTTGTCAACTACAGTACTATCATTAAAAGACCACAGAGGAGCTTTCCATAGTGGGACGTCATGTGACCAAACATATCCATTAATGGACCCCGCGTGTGTACATGTGTCTCTTGAGTCTCCTACCTAACCCCAAGAAGGCAGACCAGAGCCAGCTGAGAGACAGTGAGGCAGGACACAGCCTACTTTAGTCAGCTGTCCTGTGTCCCTGTTACCTTTTCTAGCCTGGATTTTTTAATCCTTCTGAGAAGCAGAGAGGTCAGGTAAGAAAGGTACCACAGCTGACATGTCTGCCACTTGCAGAAGCAGGGTTCACAGTCTGCAGAGGGTGCGGTAGGAAGGCAGGGTGGGCTGAGGCGGGCCTCAGGCCGGCTCCTCCTTTCTGTAGCCAGAGGCTTTTTCCTACCACCCTCCTGCGCTCAGCATTAGACCAGGGCAGCTTCAGCAGCCAGCAACCTACATCCATGCCCCGTGGCTCTCACTACATTGCCTGCTTCCCTGCACTGGCAGGTGCTGCCCAGCTGTGAGTTCTCTTCCCCAAGTTCCTCTCTGGACACTAAGGACCACTTCCTTTTCTTAAATGATTCCCCCTGCCAGGCCACACATGCTGCTTAAAGTCACACGGAAGGACGCTGTGTACTCACTGGCGGAAGAGTGGGACACGTACAGCAGCACCAAGAGCAGCCCTCTCATCTCTGCCATCCCGACAGGAGCACTGAAGCCTGCATGGGCAGCTGGGGAGAGAGGAGATCTAAGGACTCCGTTGGCTCCATGAACATCCCCAGAACTTTCCTCTTCTCCCCGGAGGAGTAGTTCCCACCCCCCAGCCTCAAGGCCATCTCTTCCTTTCCACCCATCAAGGTTCTAAGACATGGGAAACCCACTTGTCACATCTCCTGCACTGGCTTCTGTGCAGTAGCGTGGCAGGAACCAGCCGTCTGGGGTGGATGTTTGGCCAGCAGTTGGTAGGACGCCTAGCAGTTGGTAGGACACCTAGCAGTTGGTAGGACTGCCAGCAGTTGGTAGGATGGCCAGCAGAGGCAGGTGGCCTTTTTTCCACTTTTCTTCTCAATGTAACTTAGAGAGTTGGGTCTCTGAAAGGGGTTGATTTTTGACTTATGGAATTCAACTCTTGCTTTAACTCTGTAGACATACTATACTGCTAAAAGAAAAGGCCAGGTTTTGGTGGAAACTCACCTTGATCTTTATTTCGCCTGATGATTTTACCCCTCCTATTAAACTCTGCTAGTCTAAAAAAAAAAAACCATTCTGGGCTTATTTTTTCACTGGTAATAGCCCCTGCACTTTTACACAGTGAAAGCCCCAGCATTTAGCTTAGGTCATTCACACAAGCACCCCAAGAGGTAGATGCCCTTATGATCCCCATTTTACAGATTCAGAAACTGATGCTCAGACACTGAGTGACCACCATCCAAGCTCACAGGCTATCAAGCTGTAGACTTGGAATTTGAGTTCTTGTCTGAATCCACAGCCCTCGGGTGCTTTACCCCACCCACACCCCACCAACGCCCTTGCCTCCAACAAGCCATGGTGGCCTGAGGAACCCGTGCATGGTGCTGAGTCACCTCGGTCCCTTCATGACCCTGGATGGTTCTTGTCCTCAGGAGAGTGCTCAGGGCTCTTCCGTGAACTCTACCACTAAAGGGAAAATGAACCGGCTCTGACCTTACACAGCAGCGCTCCACAGAGGAGTTTCTTCTGTTACCTTGGGAAAAAGATGTTCCACTGTGACATCATGGTTACCATGGCATCTCTAAGCAAACGTCTGGACATGGCGACCTAGGGGCAGCTGGAATGAAAGGGCTGCTGTTATGTGGTGGGGGGGTGCTCTTCTGGAAACCAGGCACTTCCCCCATGTGGCTCAAGAGACTGCCCTTTCACTAGATCACAGACTTCTCTGGTCATGGTCACAACATTCAGCACCCACAGTGTCGTCCTGAGGGTGGCTGGCAGCCGGCTACACTGAGGACACCCATGAGGGTGGCTTTGGGTTTTCCACTGCTTGCCAGCATCTTACACTCTCTTTAAGGCTTAGTTGAGTTTTCTCTGGCACCCAGGCCCCAGCCTGCGGGCGCAGCTCATCTAAGCCCTGCCAAGCCACAGCGTGAGCCTGGTTCTGTGGTATAGCCTCTTAAGCAGCTTTGGCTTCAACAGCAACGCATCCACTGCTTTGTGCTAAGATGTAACTCTGTGGAGCTGCCCGCAGAAAGCACTTTGGCACCTGGCACATCAGAAGAGATTCACTGGTGCTGGCTGAGTGGGAGGAGGTTGGTGCAAAGGAAGTGAAACCTGTGTCAGAAAGGGGCTCCCTGCTCCTACCTGCCTGGGAGCCCTGACGTCCTGCATGCCTTATAATCATCTGTTGTCACCCATTTCTTTGGGACCTATTATTGAACTCAAGGCCTTAACAATGAACTATATCCCAAGCCTACCCCATTTTAAAAATTTTAGGACCTCCTTCTTGCTAAGTTGCCCAGGCTGGGCTCAAACTTGCGCTCCTCCTGCCTCAGCCTCCTACCTGAGTGCTGGTACTATGGGTTTCCATTGCCATCACGTTTAGCCCCACAGAGGTTTGGATTCTGTAGAGGGAAATAGATGAGAAGGATTTTTGACAGTGGTAGAGGTACAAGTTAGCCCTTTCATTTCCTCTACACCGAAGATCCCAAAGAGCTTTCATGACCATGTCTGATTCAGAATCCCCAGTTCCAGAGCAGGATAAAGGAGTATCTTTACTGTTCTTGGCTCTTTGTATTTTTTTATATTTCAGAAAAAAAACTTGACACCTTCTTTTAAAAATCCATGCTAGTATTCAGATCAGAATTGCATTGCTACGGCTGGGGAGATAGCTCAGAGGTCTAAGCGCCTGCCTGGAAAGCTCTAGGACTTGGGCTTCATCTCTGGTACTACTGGCCCCAGAATCCCAGGCGTACCATGTCACCCCACACAGGTATGACAGCACACACCTATAATCCCAGCGCTGGGGAGGCTGAGACAGGAGGATCACTATGAGTCCAAGCTGCATAGCAAGACCCTGTACCAAATAAAGAAATAAATAAATATTTTTAAAAAAAGAATGATCAAATAAAATAAAGAAGGCCACTATATACTAGTTAGAGGAAAAATTCAAAAGGAAAAAA